AGTCACTCAGATGCCAATGGGTCCAAGTAGTACTTCAGATACATAACAGCTCCTGCCCTCAATAACACCACTCAGAGCTCAGTAACAGCATCAACACGAACGCTGCATTTGTTTGAATTTAACCTTTTTTTCCATTTAATTGTCCATGCAACATTAAACAGTACAAGTGTGGCCTTTAACCAGCAAGCGTGCCCCCAATTCGACATTCACACAAACACTTGATGAAATTAGCGTAATGAGTCTGCAGATAATGGATCAAACAGGGGGGAGAAAGGTTCAGAAAAGGACCAGTACGTCCAAATTACTAAACACAAAACATCACACTTGCATAATGCACAAGTGATTTGTCAAAAAGGGTTAGATTTCCCACTGTGGGCAAGTGTAATAGCTTATAAGAGCTGCTAAAAGCCTGAGCTACTTTAACCATCATGCACTCTAAAAAGCAAAGCGATTTTTGTTGGCATTATTGCCTTAGTGTTTAAAATAAAAAAGAAGTAAAGAGATGTACCAAAAAGTTCCTGTTAGACTGTTTGACTTTTACATTAACTCTGAAATTTCTAAAGTCACTAAGTCATAACAGGTTGGGCTTTATTGAGGTTATAAATATTGAAGGTTCCCGACACTGCAGTATATAAAGTTGTAGAGTTATAGAGGCACTTTTTATTTCAGTAAAATGTCAAACTCTAAGCAGCATATATACCCGTCAAAAATTCACACAAATGAACGCTAAAGTAATGTCAAGTCACACCTCAAAGTCAAGGCTGGCTGGTGGAATTTCTTCTGAGCTCGGTTCAACCACCACCAACAACAAAGATGGACCCCCGGAATCACCACTGGAGCGAATGGTTTCCTGCTGCGCTGCCCTTTAAGACAGGTCCACATCAATCTCCAGTGGTGATGCACAAACCTATCAAAGCCTCTGTCGGGTCAGCCGGTCCAGGTGAACACCTTAACCTCCAGAGCGGAGGCTGTGGTGTCACATAGCAACAACAGAACTGGGGCAAGAGAAGAAAAACAATGATCAGAGCCAATGTGGGGCCGCCCTGTGGTTCGTTTACTCGGTATCAAACCATTCAGATTTATTCTCTGTAATATAGAGTCAGAGGTAAACACACAGGGGTGGAAAAAAATACTTTTGTGATATCTCGCAGTAAGAATCACTCTTTAGTCTCCAAGTACAATTTCTTTTACAGCCAAAACACAAAAGAAATGGTAAAAATGCTTCATATTAGGCCTGTCGCGATAATCAATAAATCGCCTTATCGCTCGGTAAATAAAAACGAGGTCGGTCATTTTGCCAGCCTCGATAATTGACGTGCGTTTGTTTTCCCTCCTCTCTCGCTAACAAACACGCTGGATGAGAGAAGAGGTCTCACTCTGCGCATTGTTCTCTGCACCTGGGGGCGTTGGCTCTATAGCGGAATGAACGGAGTTAGTGAACCCTCCTGTCAGTCATTCAGTGTCTTTGTCACGGGGGTGCGCGCGCACAGGTACACGTAGGCGCGCACAGGCACACAGGCACAGACACAGACTTTTGGATACAGTGCTGCAAGTGAGCGTTGTGAGTGAAAAGCAAGCAAACAGAATGAACACGACAGCTTTGGTGTCTAAACCGAACGCAACAGCCCAAGTGTGGGAATATTTTGGCTTTAAACCAGTTTTGTTTTCGTCAACCACAAAACTCCACGTGTGTGCGCGCGCGCGTGTGTCTGTGTGTTGGAGGAGCACAGCAGGCTGATGAGAGCTGTCAGAGCGGACTGAAGCTGCTCCTATATGTTTAGCGTTTAACTGACTGAGTTTTGCAACTCTGTTCGTCATTTTCGTCTCGTCCCATCAACGTAAACGCACTTTCGTCTCGTCACATTTTAGTCATCTCGGACTTATTTTTAGCTCGTCAACGTTACGTCTTCGTCGTGGGTGAAATTAAAGTTTATCACTTTTGACAGGGTGTACTCGCATTATTATGCCATTTAATATCATTATCTATAATTTAAAAAACGGTGTCAATAATATCATTTATCGGCAATAATTTGTAGCACAATTATCGTCCAGCAAATGGTAAAAATGCTTCATATTGAAGACACTATTCCAATGTTCCACCAACACTGTACTAGATCATGGCCTAAGGTCCTGCAAGGCGGTCAAGAAGCCCCTGATCAATGAGAGACAGAGGTATGCCCGGCATCGTTGGGCCCAAGCATACAAAAACTGGACAGCCAGGAACTGGAAGAAGATCCTGTTTCAACATGTTAAGAAAGAATTAAAGGAAGTAATTGAAGAAGAACGGCACAAGGTTACCCCTCGACAGAGTGGAAGGCTTGTGGACAACGTGCTAGCTGAGATTAGAGCCAATTTGATGATGTGAAGATTCATTTATCTATTGTTCGGTTTTGAACACATCCTCTGTTATTTTTTAACTTTGATATCGACCATGTTGAGACGATCAACGATTTTACTTTTGTTATTTTTTCTTTTTACCAATAAACAAAAAGATCATTAGTTTGTGTCTGTCTGATGTATTCACACCTTTTGAAACACAAAAAAACAATATTTGAGATAAAAGATCAATGATATTTGAGATTTCAACTTTAATTTACTTCTGTACTTGGGGAACCAAACTTTTCTTAAGAGAAACAACAAGTTTGAAACACTATGTCACTAAAGTTAGTGGTTTGCAGCCCATGGCTAATTTAACGGCAATTAAGCAAGGTATCAAATTTTGTTGATATCAGAGTTGGTTCTTGGTCTAAAGAGGCTACGAGGACTTTGGAAATGTTGATTTGCAGCAAAGGTTGGGTGGCAATCTAAAAAACAGAGAGACATACTTGTTTTTAAATGCGTGTACACAATTGCATGATGGCTGCCATGCATCCCCAGCGTTGGATTGATGCGTTGGCTTTGCATAGCTTCAAAAACTAATGGGGCATAGATGCGAGGCGCAGTATGGTGGTTTAATTGTTCATCACTCACCAGGCAAACTAAACCAGAATTGATATGATAGAATCCTCCATGAGTTCTGCCTGTAGTTACATACTGCCTGAGCTCTCTGGTGTGTCCTCTAAAGTCTCCACCATTACAACAAACACTGTAGAGTTAAATGTGTTTTCAATAGGGCTTCATGTACCTTATAGAGAGGCTCTCTGTGCCACACAAAGAAATCACAAGGCCTTCACTAAAGGACTCCACAAAGGGACTGATGAAAATAAGTTGAGTTACCCAACAGTGACTGTGAGAGAAAGGAAAATGAATGCGGAAAAGGGGTCGGCGATGAATGCGTTGATATATACAGAGAAGGAATCACATCACAAATGCACTGAAGAGTCACAGTGGTGGTATGGAGAGCATATAAGAGGGTATGGACACACCAACTGTGAGTGTCACATGTTCCATAGAGAGAATACATGAAAACCCGTACAATTTTTATGTGCAAGATGTTACTGCAGGCATGAAGGAGCTGATCGAAATCCTCTGTCTGAGCCGTTTTTATCTTTCAATTGGAACAATCAGTAAGTCAGAATCATTGATAGAGAGTGCTGCAATCAACCCGAGCAGGATGAGGAAAAATCAGTAGACTCTTGAAGGGAGGAACAGTCCCTGCTGGACTGAAGAGGGTGGAGTGAACTTCAGGTGGATCAGTGAGGCTCTTCATGGCGCGCTGTTGGCAGAAAATTAACAGTTTAAATGAATGTCAGCTACAGGCCTTTTTATTTTGCCAAGAGAGAGGGAAGGGTCTGTTCCCAAAATGCAAAAATGGTTTCAGAATTAGCTTTTTCCAACACACACATAATTCTGAGGGTTTAATAAGAGGAAATTACCAATTACAATCCCCGGATGGTCTCAGAGAAATAAATTGAGTCATAGAGACAGAAAAAGTGGTGATAGCTGGAAACATGAGTTTTGTTTTTCCATCCTTTTTGATTTTATTTTAGACCCAACAGAATTAAGAGTGCATTAACAAATGAGAAAGAGCTTGGGTAACTCTAGCAGGGTTTCACTTTGGTTCATACATAACATAACAGTGTTAATTTGAGTCATTTAGATCAAGAGTGCAGGTATATTAGAAAAAGTAATGGTCCTAGGAATGAGCCCTGTGGCACACCTTCAGATATAAATACTTAACACTCTTTTCCATAAGCAAAGTTTTGAGTTGAGTTACAAAACAAAAAAAGAATCAGATTCAGTCTCTGTGGAGGGTGCAAACAATGCAGATGGATGCAGAGGCGGAAAAACACCAAAACCAACTTGGGGGGGCTCTCCAGAAGAATCACAATCTGACCCTGAAAAGGAGGGGGTGACTGCTGAAGCATTGCAGCCATGATTAAATGATATATTTAACATTAGTCCGACTTTTTCCCTTTATTTAAATAGAAAATAAGCACCAACTATAGCCTGCACATTATTGAGAAGCAGTCATCCTGCTGTGCCATAGCGACTTTTTACCAATTCTGTCATTGATGGTTAGTCAAAGAGGAGTTCAAAACTCAAAGGTAAGATGCTGGTGATGAAGTCTGAGGTGTTCTGAGGGGGAAGAAAGATGAGAGTCTTTTTTTATACCGACTGCTTTAATCCTTTTCGATTTCATTTCTCATTAATGGAAATGTAATTGTGAGAATGAGGCTGTTGGAGTTCGTTTCCCTTGGCAACCAACTTCTTCAGAGGTAAAAATCACACAAATAGGAGCTGTTATATCTCTTGGGCAGCTTAAATATCACATTAAATTATGCATAATTTCCTTAAAAAGATCACTTTTGAATGTCAAAGAAGCGTAATGTCTTCATATTACCCCAGAGGAAGACGCATTTACTCACATCTTGTCCCTTTTCATCACTTTCAGGACCATTGGCAGTCAATGGGAGCGTCGTCTCTGGGGAGCTGAGTTATAGAGCTGCTGCAGTCTTTTCTTTTTTCTGAGGACAGGGAGGGTAAAGTGTTTTCTCCACAGTGATGTGCAGGGGTTTGAAAATGGACGAAAGTAGTGGACCGTCTGCGGCTCATATGGTGAAGTGGGCGAGGTCGTCCGTGTCTGTGCAGCTTCCTGTTAAAATATGAATCATGACATGTATGATGCAGATGAAGGTTGTATGTCTGCTGTCTCATTAGCTTTAACTTTAACTTTATAATTGCTTATCAAGGTTTTCCAAAGAGAGAAAAAAAGACCTTTATTTCCCGCAGGGCGTAAAGGAGAATAGATTGATATCAGTAATTGCAGAAATCCTTCCTCTTAATGTTTGGGCTTTATCCATCAGTGATGAAAGGCTTCATTCAACTGCAGTTTTCTCTCTTTATTGTGAGTCTCAGACACTACGAGGTAAAAATTTCACCTCTGATTAGACCCTTGTTATTCAGCTCATTCAAGTTTATAAAATTGTTACTCAGACTTTCTTCTTTGTCGACTGCAGGAAGAAAAATCAATCTTCACCCCGCTCACATGACAGGATAATCTTTTCTTTTATTCTTTAACCTGCTGCCGGTATAGCGAGCAAAAGGGGGTGAAACCAACCAATCGAAAACCAAAATGAGAATAACTATTTCATCAACAAATCTCCTGGATTTACAGAGAAAAACAACTTATTTTGGATAAATTTGAGGATTTTCTCACAAATTAAATTGGCATGAGCAGGATACTGCAGACTGGCAAGGATGCACAGGGTTCCCCACACAAGTCTGCAGGGGTCTCAGCAGAGGGACTTCGTGTTGGCTTAAAATCCGCCAATCTGATTTTTCTCACCCACTTTCAGATCCTTTATTTCTTAAAAGTGTCTCCCCCACTTAGACCTGACCTGGACTGTCAAAAACAATGACTTCAGTCACTTTCTCTTGTTTTTGTGCAGTCTGGATGAGCTCGCATGCAGACTCGAGACCGTTTTCTGACCCGGTAATGGAGCGAACAAGCCATACATTCATGGCTGGTCACCGTGGCTCCATCCTAACATCATGACCTTCATAAAAACCTTCCATTAACTCTTCATTCCTGCACCGCAGTTGTGTACAATTGATGAACACACACATCTTAAGTGTTCATCTTGGCAGCCAAAATGCCTCTATAGCAGATAGAATCATTAGCAGCGCTGCACCCTGGGAAATCGTCTGGCTTCTTTTTTTAATTACGCTGCTTCTGGATGTAGAAATGTCCCCGAACCCAAGAGGAATCTCGGGAACGAGTGTTGTTTAGCTTTCTAGGGAAATATCTCCTTCGAAATGTCCTCTAAACCGGATTAAAGATGAAATGTTTGGGATCATTAGTTGAAATTATTCTTTTTATGGGTTTTGGAACATAAGCATATTGGATTAGCCTCCACGACATTGCCCTTTACTCAGGCCTCAGAGGATGACTGTGTCGTCCAGGCTGGCAGCATCTTCTAGTTTTAACCCTGTATCTCTTTCTCTCTCTTTCTCTCTGTACTATAGGTGGCTGAGACGGCTAATGAGGCCACAGACATCTTTCTGTTGACATCATTAAAAGTTTGTGCTCTTCCTCCAGCTCAAAGTTGTTGCGCCGAAACCACAAGATGTTCTTTGAAGCCGTCCGGAGAGTGTTTGATTGGGTTTTCATTGAGCAGACATTGAAGCATCTTGTATTGATATCGTCTGCTGTCTTGGAAACATGCTGAGAGATGCCGGAGGGTCTTATATTTTTCTAATTGTGGAGAAAACAGCTCGATACAGGTAAAATGTTCAGGACTGAAGCATCTCTTCATTTATATACTTTACAATCTCTTCATTAGAAGGAGTGTCAGGTCTCTTGTACTGGGAAGTTGGGCTTTTAACATGAAGCTGCCACTGAGTTTTTTTCTGCACAAACTGGAGTAGTTTGTTGGGGAAACTGTGGTGTAAAGTTTTGTTGGGTTGTTCCGTCAACATTTTCAGGTGTCCTCACAAGTCCTTGGTTCGTTTTCAGTCCAGTACCGTTGTCTGTCTGGTTCGTCTCTGGAGATTTGAGTGTTTTCCCTCTTGTTCTTGTTAGATATCTCTTCATTCTGCTCCTTGTTTCAATAAACACTACCGCTGTTTGTTTATCAGTCCACCGTGGAGATGATTTTCGTGTCTTGACATCCCCCTGGAGATATGGCACACACTTTAAGAAGTGCTAGCTAAAGCCTGGAACACACTAAAAGATTTCCAACTCTTGTAAATGTCAGAAAAATCACACATTTTTTTCCTGGACTCCTTTTTTTTTTACCAGCAGCTGAAATCCCAAATGCAATGACTGGAAATTTCGTGAAGTCTCTCATGGTCAAACGTGACCTTAAAGTGAATGTAGATGGCAGATATTAAGAGCTAACCACTGCTGCTTAAATTCCACATTTTATGCTTTTGAACGCCTCCCTTCACGTTGCAAAAACCCTTGTGTTGTCACCAAGTCTATGCCTCAGGTTTCCTATTGTTGCCATGGCTGCGTTTGTTGCGCTTCCTCTCATCCTGATTGGCTATTGTTCTCCTTCGCGTGACAACCAACAGAGTACATGATCAGTCTTCCTCGGGGATCCCCCCACACACAAGGGTGTCATCACTGTAGATGTTGAACGTGTTTTACGATTTTGATGAATGTTTTAAAATTTTAAGTCTTGGGTCGTCTGGGAAGATAATCCAAAGAACCATCTGATGATCAGACCTTTGCAGGATGTTGCCCCAATCTGCCCTAAAATTGGCACCATTATCTTGTAGTGGTTAGTGGTTTCTAATGGGGTTCAGGGTCCCCAAGATGAATCTTCAAAACTGTACAGATAAAGAAAAGAAGCACCGTGGTATCATGTCTTTATTTTAAAGTCTAAATATTTGTTACGTCTTACACTCTTGAGTTTATGCCTATAATTTTATTTCCTCTACTTTAAACCAGTTTATCTCTTGACATTTCCAGTAACGCGCCTTCCACATTCCCGCCATGATTGCATTTTAAATTGGAAACAAAAACTTCTGCAGTAATGGATTTTTCTCTGTGCACTCACAAACAAACCTGCATTACTCTCGACTTGATAAAGCTGAATATCAAAGTCATCCACTTAGATGGAGATGTGATTTAAATGCTGCAGAGTGAGCGAGGCTGAACGCTTCAATGTGGATGCAAAGTTAATGCAAATGTTGTTTCTGGCTTCTTCTCTACTGCATGAATTAGATAATGTCATTTGTAAATAGCATGCTAATGCATTTTGAAACACCATTTACATCATTTATGGCAATTGAATCATTATTCACAAAGTTTGCATCAAGGTCCTAATGTTCCTGTCTGCAGCCATGAATTACAGCTTTGATTTGCCAGAGCATATTTAGATATTTTTCATGAAGTGAAAGGATTGGTTCAGTCAGCAGCAGAGGAGAAAAACCCAGTAGGTATTTTTCATTCTCTGTTTTAGGACTTTAGCTCTGCTGTCCACTTGGGAGTCGGTAGGTTTCACGCACAAACTCCTCAGGCGATCACTGCTGATATCTCTATGCTTAACCAACTTTCCAATTAGCCTTAAAAAGTTGGTTTACGAGGCATCTAGCGATTTATTAAAATCTGGCCAGTGCCTTGTGTGAATTGGCTGAATAGCTGATAAACAAACAAGAGTAACGAGAGGCAGCAGAGATGATCTGAATGCCAACAGCGTGCTCAGGGTTGCAGAGGATGTGGGCTGATGGCCACACCGGCTCCTGTCAAGAGAACGAGGAGGAGGGTAGCAGATCTCGAAGACCTTTGCGTTTGGATTTTTATGCTCTGCATGTTAACGGTGCAGCCTGCAGCCATGTGGAGGCCCAGTAGAGCTTCTTCAGGTGCACCACTGAGTGTAAAAACTCTTGTATTAATTCCTCTTTAAAAATAAGAGAGGCTTAATTGAAGGGGAGATCGACCTGCCCTTGCAGGCAGTGCATGTTTACTCAGTGAAATGAAGCAGCGGTCAAATGAGATTATTCTATTTTTATTAAGTGAGAAGTTCAAAGATATCTAACCTTGACTAACAGTTTTAAGCACACAAGCAGCAAAATGTTCCATCAGGAATCAGTGGAAATAAATTACAGAGTAAAAACAAATCTGCAATGATTCCTCAAAGGAAAGCGCAAAGAAACATCGAGTTTGAGATGCAATTTAAGTTACAGAATTAGTCTTGAACTTCAAAGAGTGTAGAGTCCGTAGAGGTATTTTCCTGTGCTGAAGCCCTCCCAGAAAATTAGACTAATTCGAGCAGATGGGTTCGATGATGCTCGGCTCATTCTCTAGTTTTGTTGTTTTTTTTTGGTGCAGCTGGAAATAATATATAATAATGCATGTAAAACCTAAAACTGAATCAATTTGTGGGCATTTACTTCTCAGGACAGCCTTGGCTATCAGAGTATATGTGCTGCAATGATGTTGGATACAATAAATCTATAATTACTCGACACACAGACAAAGTATTCACATGTAAATCAACCCTTATCAAGTCTTTTCGCTCCTAAATGGTTCCCTAAAGACTTCGCAATCAAGAGAGTCTTGTTTCTTGTTTCTATAAGGCCTGTGTGTGTATGTTTCCATGCATAAAAGATGTGAATAAACATTTCTTCAGATGTGGAAGTTTCTTTCAGATAACTATCTCGCCTTTTGTTGATCTGTTGCTGCGAGTAATTAGATACAAACCAGCAAAGAAAACTCGAAGACCTACTCCAAATGTTTCCCAGGCCTCTACTTTACAACAATCTCCATGAGTAAGGACTATTACGTCTTCATTTTCAAGAATAACTCTCTTGTAACATGTTTTTCTTGGTTTTCTACCTTCTAGAAACCCAGTGAAGAAGAAAACCTTGGATCTCTCAGGGTTGAAAAGCTCATGTCAGGAGCTTTGCTGAAAGCTAGATGTGCAGCTTGTTCCTTTGACTGAGGATGTAAGAATATAATGTCCTGTTAGATAATCAGCCTTTAGACCTTAAAAGCTGATCTGCTGATGAGTAAGACTGAGCCTTCACCGCACTGAAAGAGACAGTGGACATTATCTTTAACCTCCATTTGAAGCTTGAGTGGCACTTCATGCCCAAGAGCTTCATGAGATGTTTAGAAGTAAACGGTGACTGACTCTTCAGACTGACTGACTGATAAAACTGATTTCTCTCTCTCCTCCAGGTAGCAGGAGTTTGACAGCGATGCTGCACAAAGAGATTTAGCTGAACATCTTTGTTGGCGTCGAGCCTGCACCTTTGTTAACCCTCATTTACCATCCGTCAGCACGCCAGGAGAAGTGCAGCTCTGCAAAGTCAGGAGGGCACTGATTCCTGAAAGACATCTCATCTTTGACTGACTTCATGTTTTTCCTCATTGTTTCTACTCTCATACATTATTCTGCCTTCCCTAGTGTATTAAACTAGCCTTACAGATAGCCAACAGTTGCTCCAAACAACACCAGGAAGCTTCTCACCGTTTTGATATTTATTGGATCTGACTGGATGCTGTTTTCCTTTTTTTTTTTTTTTTTTGTAAAACTGTAACGAACAAAAAAGTGCAGATCACAACTAAAGCTGTAACTCTTTACAGACGTCATATGAATACTGTAAATCAAGCAGTCATATAGGCTAAATGTAGGAAAATCATTGATACAGGCCAGGCTACAACTGAATTGACACACGAATCACTAGCGATTAGCATGACGCTAACTTACATTGAAAAACCCATAGGGATGCTAGCGCTATTAGCATCTTATTTTCCTCTGACTTTTAAGACTTAAAACAACTTCAGGAGCTTCATGTGAGCATCTATCATTTAGAAACATCTTATTACAATATAGTACTTACAGACAAATGTCCTTAAACATCCTAATGACATCGTGCAGGTTGACTCAAAGTCAAGGTTGACGATCTAAGAAGCAGTTGAAAAAAACTGAGCCGTTGAGGTAGATTTGAAAAAAGCGTCCCACCCCCCACACACAAAACTCTCCCCTCTATGCTTCACAATAACTCCCTCCCGAACCTGTATCGCCCTTTCCACGATACCCCCCCCTCTGGCAGAGCAAGACGCCAGCTGCCAGAAGATCCTACACTGGCTTCAAATAGGATTCATCATGTCTGATTGCTGGTGACTCGCGGCAGTAAACGCCAGCTCTGCTAGTTAGCGACATCTGCAGCTGCCTGGACAGCTACCATGTTGATATTACAGAGACTAATAAGAGTTATTTATGTAACATGTGCCACGATAAAAGGCGATAAACATTACCTGATCAACAAAAACTCTGCTGTCTCAGCGTGTGTTTTTAGGACCAAATCGTGGCGGAGCTTTCTCCACCGCTTGGCGGATGACCCAAAGTTTATTTGGGTTAGATTCCTCGCTTGGACGAGTTGGAAATATGGGAGAGGGGTGTGTCAAATACAGTGAGGTGATTGGATGGAGAGGTGGAGCAGGAGATTGACCAATAGGAGCTCCCATTGGTCAATGTTTTTGCAGCCCTGCACCTGTTAAGGTGAACGGATTTTTCCATTCTTTTTTCTCTTCACTTTGTGGAGATCGCACCATTGGACCATGATCGCCATAGAAACAAGGTTCATAGTAATTACCAATCTCTCCAATCGTCAACCATACATTATACATTGGCAAACTTTTGACATGGCTCTACACAATTCACTTTGCAATGATGGTAAGTCTAACAGGACAAACCTCAAACTGAAGTGCGCTCTGTAACTACGGTAACCATAATATGACAAACTCGAACTTCGAGTTTGTGACTCCAGGGCAGTAAATACACATTATTACTCCTGTATGAATCAGAGGTGATCTACTATATAGACCACTTAGTTAAAGCCTCATGTTAACAGCACTGTGACAGGTCTACTTGCTAATGAGCAATCAAGCAGACAAGTGCAGTCAACATAATGATCCACCCACGATCGCTCCTGTTGTTGTCTGACATAATCTAAAGCTCTTACATTTAGTGACTTTCCTGTGAATCATTCCCCATCCAAACAGAGCAACAAATGTGGTTCATCATCCTCTTTTTTTCCCCTGTGAATTAAATGTCAGGTTTCCTTGGTAATAAATTGTCACAGACAGACTTGATATGTCTTTCGTAACCCTGTCTGAGACACGTTCTCCATTTCATATCCTCTCATGTGCCTTTTGACAGAAAAAACATCTCATTTCAGACTGTCTGACAGTAACACATTTCCTGTTTTCAAGGTGTTCCAGACTTTCATTGGAGCGTATTGAAATGGATGAAAAAAAACAGAAAATGTAAGGACGCTCTATGACTTTAAAAACTCGTATTTTACTT